GTGTACTCAAATGTCATTTAATGTATTGTTCTACACTTTGAAATCAGAGTTTTATTTGCTTAGACTTTATATTCTATGTTTTACTCCATGTTTTTAAATCAGCATGAACAGTTTCCTACATTTGGTTTGCTTAATTTCACTATAAAATACCTTGAGTTTAACCAAAAGCGTTTTATGAATAAACCAACATTGACATTGATGCATTGATTTAAACATAACATCCAATATCTTGCCCACAGATCCTAGTTTGATTACATTTACATCTCAGTAAGGAAATCCCCACATCACAAGGGGAGTTGTGTGCCCAATACAATAAAAAATCTACTACACTAACTACTGCGATTCTTTCAGCAAATTTGTGTGCAACTGCCATATAGTGCTCGTATAGAGGTCACGCTGCCTGGATGTAATGCTGTGAGACCAGGATGCAATGTTTACTTTTGGTGCGTGGGGGGAAATAAAATACTGAAAAGGTCACTCAGTATGTAGAAATATAGCTTTATCCAAACTCCTGGTATTTGTTGTCATCTTCACTGTATCATCTGAATTAAACAATTTGCAGCTAGTTTAGAACAGATGTGCAGAAAGAATTTAACATTCTTAATATTTTTTATTTAGAAAGTAACATCACAGTTGGATGAGCCACAGAGATTTTAAGTTTGTAATTTTAAGCTGTAGTAATACAACCTTGGATTAACCTGAAGCAGATTATTATAAAAGACAGAGTGAGTTATTTTATAGAACCCACTTTCTGTGTTAGCAAATGATCATTAAGAAAACTGAACATTTTCTTGTTTTTCATGGCTTTCTTGTGGGTTAATGAATAGCTTTAGGACAGTGTTTTAGATGATGACCTTTTGTTAGTATTTAAGCTATGAACAAGCTGCTGTAATCATAATATATTCAAGTATTATGACTATTTTTACACCTTGCAAATACAGGAAATGTTATTTAGTAGCCCTGTGCTCTTTCAGGTTTGACCTTAAATTGTAGATTTTATGCAAATCTTTCATACAGTTAAACAAGCCTTTTTGTTAGATTAAAACCTAAGGGTCACTGTGAAAGCCTTACACAATTTCAAGTATCAGTAGTTTCCATCTGAGGTTTACATGACATCATGATAGGCATGAATGTATTGCTAATTCTGAAGTCTAAATGATAAATTTGAACCATATTTTATCCAAAAAAAAGATAAAATAACAGACTGAAATCTAAGTCTGACTTGTTAATCAGTTCAAGAGCCATATAGGCTCAGATGTATATATTATGTAATATTGACCTCAATGTTTCTGGCTAGTTGCAAAGTAATTTTTTTTTTTCAGCCATAAAGAATTGATTGAAATTGATCGTTTTATAACTTACATAGCAAGTGTAAAGCTATATTTAAGTTAATTGTCTTGTTGTAGCTACCACCTGTGTTTCGAGTTGAAACGATCAGACTCAAATTGTAATTTTATTATTAATATAAAGGGATCTAGATTTATAAAAATCTAGGCTAAACATAATCCTAATTTTCTACACTAAAGTGAGCTTAACATCAAACCTGACAATGTTTGGTAGGCCTGAAGGACCTATCAGCAGGCTTTGAGAATATAAGATTAACTTTGCTGTATCACAAATGAAAAATTGCATGGAGTGGGCACAATACAATTCATGGACTCCGGCACGCTGTGCTCCAGGAAGCTTATTTACGCATCAAGCGGCACACAGGTGCTACACAACGGTGGTGATAAAGGTGAGCTTAAATGACTGTCCATAGCTCACCACGAATATACAACTGAACCTGCGTGTGCGCAGAAAAAGATAGCTAACGGGAAGAGCGCACAGGATGTAAACATATCACCAGAATGGTTGACAGTTAGGAGAACCACTTATTTAGATGATCCACCCAGAAATAAAAGATCATTTTAAATCCATAAATCATTTTAAACCGTACTGATGTGTATATATATGTCCATAGCTTTTTCAGCAAGGACCGTATTGAAAATCAGGTCTGTCTTTAGTGATTTATTTGGAAATTAATGTGTGCATTCGTTTTCATGTACGTTTGTTTTGATCTGTATTGATTGACCCTAAGATGTTTTTGATGCCTATCAGTTTTCGGCCGCCCCTTAGGGCACTTTGTCCCCTGCCTACAGTAGCCAGTCGTAGGAAAATTGTTTGGTACCACCACTGTTCCCAACATCATCATAAAAATGTACAGAGTTTGCTTAAACAACTGAGTCCGTGAAAGTGAACGAACGTTTAAATTAATGCTACTGATTCTCCTAAGAGTGGTTAAAAATCTACAAGCCTACAGCCTACCTAACACTCACTGATGGCAACAACAAATATCTGGTAGAGATGTAACCTTAGAAAAACTTAAATTAGCTAAATTGTGCATCCGTAAGAGATTGCTGTCCTATCCTTTACTTATAAATTGTATTTATTAATTTTAATTAGTCTATTTTTGGAATCCCCCATTAGTGCATCAAGCCGTCTCCATACTTCCTGGTGTCCAATTAAGAGAACAGAGGATTAAAAATACTCTGTGACCTCATCCAAAATGAAATAGACTATTCTTGTTTTCTAAAAAATATTGCAATTGTTTTAAATTAACAAGAAAAAGTAAATCAACAAAAAAAGTTACAAATTCACAAGGCATTCATGCTCATGATGCACATATAACATCCTGTGAATGCTATAATAAATGCGTTCAAACTGCTACCTTCTGGTAGCATAAAAAACACACATTTACACATGCAGCAAGATCATATTTGAAAGGATTATTCATTTACTATGACAGTGGCCACATAAATCAACTTGTCAGTTGAAGTGGTAATTTCTCACACTGGTAAACAAATCATTATTGTATCATTCTGTACTTTGAACACACACAAAAATAAACTAAATTCATGTATATTTATTTTCAAGCATAATTTGCTTTTTTGTTGTTTTAAAGCGAATATACAGCAGCTACAGGGTGACACGCACCCTCCCATCAATCCTTTCAGTGTGTTGTAAGATGCTCTGGATGCGTAAGAGAACTTCAGACTCTAGAGGTCTCCATCCTTCAGCATCCCCTCATCAGCCACCTATTCGCCCTCTCCTCCTCTTTGGGTGCTTTGTGCGGCGGAGGAGGAGAAGAGGAGAGGCTGCCCGAGGAGGAGACAGAGGGGAGCCTGAAACCAACACGTCCCACGCCAGATCCACACAACCTGGGGGCAACTTTGATTTGGACGCATGCGATGCACATGACAATGAAGAGAAAGAGCCACATTTCTGCCTCTTTCTCTCCCTCCTGCTCTCCTTGGGAGGCTTAGATGAGTCGGGCGTGTGCAACATACTACTACTGTACGTCCTTGGACTGAGGCGCTGAATGAAGATTTATTTGTGTGTGATTTCGCTGTTCAGCTCGCTGATGGTGCCGCCTCGCCGTGCCTGCGCTTAGGTCAGCCCAATGAATCCAGAGGCGGTCTGAGCGCATTGTTTCCTGCTCCGTTGCTTTTGGGATTTCCAGCCGTGATGTCTGCAATCTTGCGCTCTTTGTTTCTGGGTAAGTCATTTTAGGTTTCTTTAACAGCTCAGAAATACAGCCAATTAACGGAGCGCGTGCCTTTAACAATTTCCACTAATAAGTGAATTAATTGTAAATATTTTTTATCCCAATCATTTAGAAATCGTCATAAAAAAGCACGTCTGAGTGCTTTATTTCGGAATGATGTCAGAATATATTGCCTTACAGTAAGGAATGGCACAGAATGATTCATGTAGGTTGTATTAAAAGCTCCTATTTGTGCTTTGTTTAAAGACATCATGGAAAAGCAGACGTCAGCTTTAATCTGTAAGCCATAGTTGTTGCTCTTTTTAAAGGGATCTATTAGAATAAGGCTAAATTAATGGGATAAAAGTTCACTTGACCCATCCTTTTAACTGTTGTCTCCAGATTTATGTACCATGCAGTCAAGTTCTTTAGAGGAAGGCCTGCTGTGATTAAACCCCTCTAGTGACAACTAATGTAAACAAATATATGCATGTACTTTCTTATTTTGCCCCAGGTTGTGGCAGCAAGGGTTTTATTCTGCAAATGTCTTAAATAGTTACCAAATATTTCTATTTAAACCATTTGGCCTTCACTTACATTGCATGTCATGAAATTAAAGCAATTGGTATGCTTCTTGTGCAAATCCAAACATTGCTGTTGCACAACCTACTCAGTCAATTCCTGGTCTGCAGCTACAGTAAGTGAATGCTTTATTCTGCTCTGACTTCACTGATTTGAAGTTTCTGTTATAATATCGTCAGAGTTTTATCATGACGTTCAGTAAGTCGTGTCACACAACATGTCTTGCTCTTGTTCTAATACCTGCTATGGAACTGAGAAAAAAACAAAGTCATGAGTGCTGGTTAGAATGGTGTTTGAATAGCAGTGGCTTACTTGAACAAGTTTAGAGCTCCCTGTGATATGGTTTAGGAGTGGTTTGGTATAAAGGGAATATGCATGTAACACAGCAGCAGTTTTTCACCTAAAGGCTGACCTTTTGGAGTTCAACTTTAAGTGTTTGTCCTATTGGGTATACAAAATGAGTGGAGAGAATGCAGTTGGCCCCATCATGTGATGATTTTAGCAAGGGCTTGTAAAAATGTGTGTAATTGCTATATGTATAAGTTCCATTAAGGCTTCATATCTACTATGACAATGGGCCGGTTATGAAACACTGAACAATGCAAATATTATGCTGACTGATCTGGGAAGGTTTAGACGCTTACCTACTCTGTTTTGGATGCTTGTTTTCAGCTGATTTTTGCATTATCATTTATGATTTTAAGAAGTTGTTACTTTTGTTGTTTTTTATAACATTGATCAAGATACAATTGAGCAAGTAGAAGTATACCAACATCTCCTGGCACAACATCTCAATATATGTATAAAACCCTTTATTTTTATTGTGAAAGGGTTTGTGTTTAGTTACTTCAGCATGCAAGCAAACATCCTAGCCTTTGCCCAGGACAAGACAGTTTTCAATGGGGCCCTTCCTATTATTTCAATAATAGTGGAACATGTATTAATACAGACATTTATCCCCTTGTTCCCTCTTTCTGTTAACCAATTACTCAACTGGTCTCTTTTTCTCTTTTCTGTTTGCTCAATATTTACGATTTTTTTGTTTGTTTTTTTGTTTGTTTTCTACATTAGAGCAGGTACTAGTTGATGTTGCTGCTTTATACTGTAGGACATAAGCTATGTTTACCTGGACATAAGTAATCAAAGGAAAATATCTGATCAAACTAAAAATGTGTCATGTAAACATAGCACATAGACTTAGACTTACATAGACAACTTTTATTGTCATTTTGTACACAGAGTGTACACAAAAATAAATTTCATTTTGTATAGCTTTCATGACATTTTCATTTCCGCAGCAGTCATCAAATCTAAACAGCGTGAGAGAAAAACATGGTGCAAAAAAATTTATTGATGTGGAAGTTCAAAGCATTGAATATATATGGCACAATTATGCACTATATATATTTATATATATTACATAGGAAGTATTCTACAGTATTCCATTCCCCTGCATTGTCAGGATCAAAATGAAATTATTATCTGGTGGTTTATACGGATTGACAATTAATTTGGCGTGCATGTAAACGCTTGTCAGGACAAGTTGTTCTGAATAAGGCAAGCTGTCCTGAGTGCGCATGTGTACACTATTTCCATGAAGTATGTTTGCTATGAGTGGCTTGACGCTATGTCAGAATATGTTAGGATTATTTATGTTCATATAAATTATTTTTTGTTACTATGTCAAAATAAATTTTACATACATAAGTTAATTAAGAATGTTCTGATGTATTATTGTCATCTAGGAATTTTTAATTCATTAATATGCAGCATTTTTGGCTCCCCGACAATAAGAAAAAGCTGGATTGGCCTGTTATTTCAATTTTATTCTGCTCTTTGTAGGGCAGGTTTTGCTTTTAGCTCTAAATGCCATGATATGAACCTTATTTTTAGCAGTTAAAGTTTTACGTAGGCGTATATGCATAGTGATTAGGGCACATCTACTACTGGAATCAAACTACAAGTTACATAACTATGCATCCATTAATGTTTACCAGCCTCCAATCTAGAGGGCTAGCTGTAGTTATGGAGTGGCTGCCTGACCCAGGGGTCTCTAGGTCTCTGTAGCGAACCATGCATTTTATATTGGAATAGAGTGACTTAATCAACTCAAAGTCAGAGGTTGCAAAACAGCCTAACCATTAGGAAGAGAAAATGAATAAAACTCAATTTTTGGTATGGTAAATATTGGGCTTATATTTCTATATTTTATACAAAGCTTAAAAAATAATTTATTGAATTGTTTAGAAAAAAAATTTAGGAAAATGCATATTAATATGATTTTATTAGATTATTATGTATTAGTTAATATAAATATCCCAGATTATAGCCTTAGGCTAATTTCCATCTGGAGTCCCTCCTGGCAGGTTGATGTCGCAGACAAATAAGATATTTACAAAACACACTAAACAAAGACAGATAGAGACACCATTAACTCCGTCATCGTTAGTACAGGCACAGAAAAAGTCAACGACTGCAAGAAAGAAACCAAAAAAAAAAAAAGTTTTTTGTATTGCACTGCTCTCAATGATATTTGGAGGACCCAGTACTTAAAAAGGCAACACATTTGTCTAATGTGTTGATATAAAATAAAATGTATCATTATTGTTGCACAGGGGTAATAAAGCCGTCCATTTGTTTCATCAGTTTTATTTTGACATATTTACTTAAGCTAAGATATAGTTGTTCTAGATTTAAAAGTTGCTTTTAAGTGCTAATTTGGCAGTGATGCTCTTTCTACAGTAACATTGGGGATATTGCATTATGGTATTAGACAGGCTACATGCTATTGTAGCCAGACTGCAGTTAACTTTTCTAGCATCATTCTAGCCTTGGATTTGTTGCTTTGGTTTGTGAAAGTACTTTGTATAAGTGTGAATTGGAACACAGCTCTGTTTTTCCTATCTATGTTTCCTACAAATGTTTGGCAGGGTGTGAAGAGAAGTTATCTTTATGTGACCTTACAACAAAGAAGCCACAAAACAGGCAGCATTTTGTTTGCTCTGTAAAAAAAGAGATGACATACGTTTTGAAAGAGATAAACAATATTGTTCAGATACTTAACCAAGTAAAAGCTTATTCACAGGTGTTTTTATGAGTCTAGTCTGTGTTTGACCACCTAGTTTACTATTCTACTGTTTAATCCATATAAAGCACATTGAATTGTCTTTGTACTGAATTGCCTAGTTCACAATTTCACAGTTTGAAATTGTGAAATTTTCTTTTCTTTTTTTAAGAACTCACAAAGGATTTTTTATTACAAATATCCACTGTAGAATTTTGCAATCATGAAAATCAGAACATAGAGACCGGTCATCATGGAAATGAAGTGCTGCACATTTATTTTAAATGTTTAGAAGTTTATCTGCTTAATCATGTTTTAATTTGTTTCATTGAGTTGACGTACAAAATTAATCTGAGATTCCAGTTAGTGTGTTGAAATGAAATTCATACATTACACATTAATTATACAGGCTTGATGTGTTTGTAGCTAATAATAGTGCCCCTGCTTTCTTAAAATAACTGCATGCATGTGCCTGAAGTATTAATAGACTTGTTGCCACGGTGAGGCTTTTTTCTCTTCCTGTTTACTTAAATTGAATGTCCTCCATTTTATTTGGTTAAAATTATGATTTTTCTGCATGTCCAAAAACAAAAAATCACAAAAACTAAGGCTGTTTTTCCCATTTAACTCAGTGTTTAGTTTCAATGGAGCACAATGACTAAGTAAAAAAAGATGAAAGAGGGAAAAAAAAAACTAAGCCAGAAAAGGGGTTATCACATTACAAAAGAATCTATATTCTTTAATACAGGCTTCTCTGTATATTTAGCTTTGGCCTTGCCCATCCTGAGACATCCTTAAATTAATATCTGCTGGAGATGTAACATCCAGCGTTCACATTACAGATAAGTAGCACAATTAATTGCCACAGAGAGTTCTTCTGCTCCCTTCGGTAACTCTGCCCAGACGAGGTAAGAAGCAGAACAAGGTCAAATAAAGTAACTCTTTCTCTCTCTCTGACAGAGTGGTGCGTTTTGAGATCTGGCCAGGTAAAGACGAGTGATTGATTGTTCCTCTGGGCAGAATGAAAGAATTTTTGAGCGACTGTCCAAGGTACAATAACACAGTCCAAGACCCTAGACAGAAATGTAATTGGAAAGCGTGAGCAACTCTTATGAGGGATCCAAACCTCTGCACTCGGAGTGCAATAAGGATCTTAACATCCCTTGATGTGCTGGTCCGTGTAGTCCTGCATTCGTATGTGAATAACAGTAGGATGAAGGCTGTGTATAAACATGCATTTTAACATTAGATGTAGATAAAGAGAGCAGTGGCTCCGTACAGAAATTCTGTCCCCATTCTATATTTAGCATAGCTGGCAGGGCAGGCTGAGGATCTCTGAAATGTGAAGATGACAGGAGCCTCCTGA